AGACGAGACAGAGTCATTGGAGAGCGTGACTAAGTCGTGCTGAGGTCAAGTCACAGGACTAAAAAGGGTCAGATGAATCTAGTGGTATGGAAGCTCCCAGTGATCTTAGCAAGAGCTATTTAGGTAGGAAAATGGGAGTTGAGGCTACAGCTCAGAGGACTTACTTGCTTTGCACGTATGTGGCCCTGCCCCAGTATTGGGATGGGACACAGATTAAAGAGGGACGAACAGGAGCTATGAGCCTCCAAGCCACAGCTGAAATGTCACTTCCCTGGATAGCTACAGCTCTGTAATTCAGAACCCCTGTTGCAACTGAACTCCATTTCTGCAGTGTTGGAGAGGAAGCCAGGGTCTACATGCTAGGCAAGCACTCCGCCACCTAGCTACATCTTCTGCATCTCTTCGACTCTGTAAACCCCCTTTTTCATGGCACTCATCACTACTTTTAATTTGTTTGTCCGATTTATGTTTTGGCTGTCTCTCCATCTGCCACAAACTCCACAGGAAATACGTATTCTTTTTCTGTCTCCAGGACCGGTTTGAGGCCTAAAACGTCATAGGAAGTCGGTAAATCTTCACTGACTAAATAGCACTTAAGAAGTACCCAGCATTTTACAGTCATTAACTCGTTTAAAATTTTATTAGCTTTATTATTTTTTAATTATGTTTGTGTGTGTCTGTGTGGTTTACTTTCTGTTTTCCACTCCAAGCTTATCTTTCACAAAGCTGAGGGGCTCTTAGTGGGTCTAAATGGCCTTTATTCCGGGGCAAGGATGTACTATTGAGTCTTGGGGGAGTCCCCCAAGTCACCCCCACAGCTCCAGCTAAATTGGCATGAGAGGCTTTTTAACATCCTCAGTCGTGACATCTGCTCCATCAATGACATTCAGGATCTGTTGTGAATCTCCTGTTCATCTCTCATTTCTAGGGACACTTTGGCCATCTCTCCCGCAACTCCAGCACAGATGTCACAGGATGCTAGCTAGCATCGGGGCCTAAAGATGCCAGAGGTGCTGGGTTATAAGCTAGGCAGGGGAGGGATAGGTGGGGATGGCAAGCAGAGCAAGTAAGTAGGAGGAGAAATCTAGGAGGAGGGGAGAAAGGTGGAGAGGAGGGAGAAGGGGAGGAAGGAGAAGAGAATGAGGGAAAAAGAGAGGGACACCCCAGGGCCAGAGCCAGACAACCTCCAGCTAGACAGACATAAGAAGCAGTGAAAGTAAGATATACATAAGGAAAGAAAGGCAAAACAGGTTAAATTATAGGAGCTAGTAAGAAAGAAGCCTAAGCTAAGTCTGAACATTCACAACTGATTATAAGCTTCCGCCCGTGTCATGGGAGGTGGTTGGTGGCCCAAAAGAAAGAGCCTGCTACAGTCAGGTTACATGCTGTGTGGTCCCTCGCCTGGCTGGCAGATGCCCTTCTTAGATGTGCTGTGACTGAATCTTATTATTTAAAAAATGTCCTGTAGGATTAGAGCATCATTCTTGAGACTTTATTTGATACTGATTACTTCCTTAGCAAGTCTGTCCCCAGCTGGAGCCATATTGGAGGATGGGGCCTGAACACACGGATGTAGCTGGTGAGAGGCACATTGGCTATGTAACACGAGTCACGCGAAGGTCTGGGAAAGAACGGCCCAGGTGAAAACCATGGGCATGAAAGAAATGAAATGCTCCAGCCTGAGTTCTGGCTGAGGAATATGCAAACGGTGGCAAATTATAGGGAGCCCTAAAGAGTATGGTCTTTATTACATAACAAGGGATACTTAGATTTTAGTAATAGAAAAAAAATTCAAGTGCCTAATAGAAGAAGATAGAAACATCCAGAGCCGGCCAATGCAATGACTATTACATAGCCAGGGAAATGAGCCACATCTAGACCATGTGGATATGCTCTCAAGCTGAGGAATGACGTACTCGTTTTGCTCTGTGAAAGGTCTCTCTGCTGCCGTCTAGATTCTAACCCAGTGCCCCTCATCTGAAGAGACCCTGACTTTACACTGAAAACGTGGTAGCTTCTACTTTTTGAAGTTAAAGAGTCCATCTGATTCGTTATGAAATCCCAATGAGGATATGGGCTTCTGCGCCTTGGTATTAATTTCCAAAGGCAACACAACGCCAATTCTTCAAACTTTACTCAGCAATAAGATCTTTAAGTCTCTTTAGAACAGAGATGGTAGCCAGGCGGTGGTGGTGCACGCCTTTAATCCCAGCACTCGGGAGGCAGAGGCAGGCGGATCTCTGTGAGTTCGAGACCAGCCTGGTCTACAAGAGCTAGTTCCAGGACAGGCTCCAAAACCACAGAGACACCCTGTCTCGAAAAACCACAAAAAAAAAAAAAAAAAGAACAGAGATGGTAGAGGCTAAGAGGACCCGAGAATTGATAATTAACCATTGACAATGATATTGATGGAGTTTTAAGCAAAGGCTATAATTGGGGACCAGAGATAAGAGGCTGCATGACAAAAATATTTCTGGAGTATAATTAAGAGACTGTAACAGTCCTTGACCTTAGAGGGGGAGAAGAATGACACCCAGGTTTCTGGGCAGGGTTCCTGGGTGGGGAGTGGTAACGCTCTCTGAGATAAGGAATGAAGTGGGCTGAGAAGGCTTTGGAGGAGTCGGAGGGTAGATAAGCTGCCTCTATCCTAAGTCTGAGATGTGCAGGGCAAGCAGACACAGATACCCAGCAGTCCGAGAGACTCGTGGATCTAGAGATAGGGATACGGTGGGCCCAAGTGTGGCAGGGCTCTGGTGTTTTCAAGGTATGTGTGTGTGTGTGTGTGTGTGTGTGGAGGGGGGAGAGTTCTGTCAAGGAGACTTCAAAGGAATGGTCAGACAGAAGATGCCATAGAAAATGATTAATGCAAGTGAAGAGCTAAGATGTTTCAGGAAATAAAGGTTGCCCGGGCAATCAACTGCTACGGGGGAGTCAATGGCACGGTCATAGATAGCACTGGCTTCAGATCTTAGGGAGCCACTGACATGACAACAGGAGCAGTTTTGCTAGGAGATACAAACGGATATGATACAAAAGGATATGAAGGAGGAATTGGGGTTCACCGCCTTGCTTGAGGAGCATGGATCTCAAACTCATTTCACCGGCAACTCGTAATCTCTCCTTCATGTCTAGAGTGGACTTTTCTTGAATTAAACATGTTGTCCTCACACTATTTCCCCTATCTTTTTTTTTTCATGTGCCTTAGTGTTTTGACTGCATGTATATCTCTGGGAGGGTGTCAGATCCCCTGAAACTGAAGTTACAAACATTTGTGAGCGGCCATGTGGCTGCTGAAAATTGAACCTGGGTCCTCTGGAAGAGCAGCCAGTGATCTTAAGTGCTGAGCCATCTCTCCAGCCCTATTTTTCCTATCTTTTTTTTTTTTTTTTTTTTTTTTTTTTGGTTTTTCGAGACAGGGTTTCTCTATAGCTTTGGAGCCTGTCCTGGAACTCCCTTTGTAGACCAGGCTGGCCTCGAACTCACAGAGATCGCCTGCCTCTGCTATTTTTCCTATCTTAACAGCATCCAATGACATCTTAAATTACTTTTACCTTGCAATGTAGTATTAGCTTTTTTTTTTGCAATTGGAAGATGTTAGATACTCAGCAGTAGAATTCTTCACCTTGCCCCATAATCTCTGTGCAAATGACCTCTATGCTACTAACTTGACACAAGCTAGAGACATCTAGGAAGAGGAAACTTCAACTGAGAAAATGCATCCATCCGATTTACCTGTAGGCAAATCTAGGGACATTTTTCTTGATGAAATAATTGATGTGAAAGGGCCCAGGCCACTGTAGGCAATGACACCCTTACCCGGGTGGTCCTGGGTGGCATAAGAAAGCAAGCTGAAAAGCTGGGTGGTGGTGGTGCGCTCTGCAGGCAGAGGCAGACAGATCTATGAGTCAGAAGCCAGCCTGGTCTACAGAGGGAGTTCTAAGACAGCAAGAGCTACACAGAAAAACTGTGTCTTGAATACTCCCCCAGCAGAGAGGGAGAGAAGGAGGGGGGGGGCGAAGGGACGAAGGGACAAAGGGATGGAGGGAAGGAAGGAGAGAGGGAGAGAGAGAGAGAGAGAGAGAGAGAGAGAGTAATGCAAGTTGAGTAAGGCATGAACAGTCAGCCAATAGCAGTGTTGCTTTAGTACCCAGGTCTGGATTCCTGCCTTTGACTCCGATCTGGATGTGTAAGACAGATAAACCCTTCCCTTCCCCAGCTGCTTTTAGTCATAGTGTTTTTTTGTTTGTTTGCTTGTTGTTTTGCTTTGATTTTGATTTGTTTTGCTTTGGTTTGGTTTGGTTTTTCGAGACAGGGTTTCTCTGTAGCTTTGGAAGGTCTCAGCATCAGGAAGGTTGAGAACCACTGCTTCAGCAGGTTAAGAGGATCTTCATGAAGACTTTGAATTAATTCTTCCATTTTGACCCCATACCTTACTGTGGCAGATTTAGTGTCTGAAGTTCCCATGTTCCCCTGGTAGTTCTTACAGGGAAAATTGGATCCCTCTTCAATAGCAGCTTATTCTACCCAATGCTAGTCTATGCCTCAACCATTCTGCGTCATGGCCCCACCTCCCAACACACACACACACATGTGATGTGGGATTCCTGTCTGTATGCTGGGAATATGTTTTATTACCTTTGGCTAATAAAAGCTTCTTTGGGCCTACAGAATAGAGCAAGGTGGGAATTCCAAGCAGAGATAGAGGAGGAAAAGAAATAGGAGTCAGAGATATGCCATGTAGCTGCCAAGGAGAAAGACACCAGCCACCAGCCAGAACTTTACTGGTGGGCCACAACCTCGTGGTAAAATACAAATAATAGGAATGGGTTAATTTAAGAAGTAGGAGTTAATTAATAAGAAGCCTGAGCTAATAGGCCAAGCAGTGTTTTAATTAATCCGTTTCGGCGTGGTTATTTTGGGTGGCTGGGAATGAACAAACAGTCTCGGTCTACACACCTACTGCTTGCTTTTCTGACTTTTTCAGATGGAAGAAGCCTTATAGCTCATGTCCCCCGAAGCCTTGCTCCAATTCTGTGTGTTGTAGACTGCTGTTTTTCAGTTTTTCACCGTTATTACTTTGACAAGGTTCCAGGAGCTTGTTATGGTCTCCTACCTTATCTCTACGTGACTAAGGTGGGTCAAGATAAAGGTCTGGAGTGGAATCAGCTGGGCTGAAAGTTCTAAATGGAACTTTGGTGGGGAAGTGTTCCATGTCAGAACCAGGGGAGCTCTCAAAATTTGAAGCAGATGAGGCAGAAGGTAGGTTATTTATGCTCCCTCTCTCTCTTTCTCTCTCTCTATCTCTCTGTCTCTCTCCTTTCTCTCCCCTGTCTCTCCACTCTCTCCTCCCTCTCTCTCATGTTTGTGTGTGAGTGTGTGTGTGTGATGTTAAGAATTGAACCTAAAGCCGGGCGGTGGTTGTGCACGCCTTTAATCCCAGCACTTGGGAGGCAGAGGCAGGCGGATTTCTGTGAGTTCGAGACCAGCCTGGTCTACAAGAGCTAGTTCCAGGACAGGCTCCAAAACCACAGAGAAACCCTGTCTCGAAAAACCAAAAAAAAAAAAAAAAAAAAAAGAATTGAACCTAAGCCTTCCTTGTGAGTGCCCAACGAGTGCTCTATTCCCCAGTACACACAGGTACTTTCTTTTAAAAAGGCTTCTTTTACAAAGGCTTATTTTTAATTCTGCATAGCCTGTGTGGGGGTTGTGCACACGTGTGCGGGTGCCCGCAGACACCAGAAGAGGATACACAGGCATGTTGTAAGGTGCACAGATACTGTTGAAGACTTGATCCCTAGCTGTTGATATCTCTAGGCTGGCACAGGTGGAAGATGGAGCTGGCTAAGTTCCTTTAAAAATATAATTCATGTTTTATTACATATATTTAATAGTGTGTGTGTGTGTGTGTGTGTGTGTGTGTGTGTGTATGAGCACACAAGCGTGCCTGTACATGCACCACACTTGTGGAGATCAGAGAGCCACCTTCAGGAGTCAGTTCTTTCCTTCCATATGTGGGATCCAGCAAGGGAACTCGGGACATCGGGCTTGATGACAAACTTACTGAGTCATATAGTTCCATTCAGGGTTTCAGCACCAGAAAGTCTGTGTTGCTTTCTCTGTTTTGTTTTTGTTGCTGTTGTTCTTTCATTAATTGTTTTCCCAAGACAGGGTATTGAGCTATCACTCTGGTGACACAGTGCTTGCTATGTGGCTCAGGCAGCCTTTGAACTCTCAGTGGTCCTCCTGCATCACTCTCCTGAGTGCTAGGATGACTGATGCAAACAGTCACAGATGGCTTCCTGCTGCCTTTAAAGAACCAGTAAACTAGCATCCTCGGGAGCAGCATCTGGCCACAGTTGCCTGCCTCGGCTAAGTTCCTCCTGATGCACCAATTAACATTTGCCTCTTATGTTTATGTTCTGGTGACAGGCTAGCACAGATTTCTTCTTTTCTTTTCCTCTCCTTCTGTCTCTCTGTCTCTGTCTGTCTTTTAGACAGGGTCTCACTGAGTATCTCTTGCTGGCCCACAACTCAATATATAGATCAAGGTGGCCTCAAACTCACAGAGATCCACCTGCCTCTGCTTCCTGAGTGCTGGGATTAAAAGCATATGCCAATACTGTTCGGCTGCAAAACTCTTAATTTCTACTGGTGATAAGAATAATTGATGTACCACACAGTTCAGTGTCTGGTTCTCACACCCTGCTGCTCAGTCTTCCAGTGCATCTGCTGAAGGTAGACCCACAGTAGACTCATGGTAGACCAGAAGGCCTTTCTTCTTGGATTGTGCCAGTCCTAGAATAAAGTGTGTATATTCACATTTGGAAGATTGGTAGGTGGAGACCAGGTTTGCATCTGTGAGATGTTGTTGTTGTTGTTATTATTATTATTATTATTATTAATATATTGCTACCACTACTACTATTACTCTTACTCTGTAATCCTGGTTGGCCTGGAACACATTATATAGACCAGACTGGTTTTGAACTCTCAGAGATCTGCCTCCCTCTGCCTCCCAGATGCTGAGATAAAAGGTGTGAGCCACACAGCTGGCCTGCCCAACATCCTATAAGGCACAAGGAAGCTCCTTAGTACAAAGAATTACTTGGCCGGGCGGTGGTGGCGCACGCCTTTAATCCCAGCACTTGGGAGGCAGAGGCAGGCGGATCTTTGTGAGTTCGAGACCAGCCTGGTCTACAAGAGCTAGTTCCAGGACAGGCTCCAAAACCACAGAGAAACCCTGTCTCGAAAAACTTAAAAAAAAAAAAAATAATTACTTGATCCAAAATATCAGCAGTTTCTAAACCGAGAATGCCTGCGATGGCAGTCATGCATCATTTAGTCTCCCTGCAGCACTTATTGCATCTGTTGCATCCGTGTCGTGTCTGGGACCCCACTACGAAATGAGGGAGAAGATAAAAGAGCAATGGTGTCCATCCCAGAACGGTGTACACTTCACTGAAAAGAAAACATCTGAACCTTAAAACCATTGGGCACTTTGGATTATCGTCTATAGTCGTGGAAATTCATTTTCAAGATTTCGAATTTTCCCTTCTCAGGTCTCATGGCAGAATGGAGGAATTTATTGACACCACACCTTTTTGCCCTGGGCCCATATATTTCTTTGATCAGGTAATACTGTTGCTCATTTCAACAAAGTATAGTTTTTTTCAAGAATTATTTGTTTTTTAAATTTTATGTGCATTGGTGTTTTGCCTGTGTGTATGTTTGTGTGAGGATGTTGGATCCCTTGGAGTCACAGACAGTTGTGAGCCGATCTTTATTGCTGAGCCATCCCTCCAGTCCCAACAAAGTATAATGTGTGTGCGTGTGCAGGTGTGCATATTACACACATGAGTGCAAATGTCGTCCTATGCTGCTCTGAGTGTATGTGTGTGCACATACATGTGTGTGGTGGCCAGAAGTGCAATCCTTAAACACTGTCCACCTTTTAAATAATTATTTACTTTATATGTAAAGGTGTTGCCTGTATGTGTGCCTGTGGACCACATGTGTGCCCGATACTCAGAGAGGTTGGAGTTACAGATGGTTGTGAGCCACAGTATGGGTGCTAGTAACTGAACCCAGGTCCCTTTAGAAGAGCAGTCAGTGCTCCTAATCACTGAGCCATCTCTCTAGCCCCATCTTGGCTTCTGAGAGAGGGTCTCACTGGTCTGGAGCTCATCAAGTAGGTTGGGCTGGCTGGATACTGGGCCCCAAGGACCCTCCCTGACACTGTTTCAGCCCCCCTAACACTGGGATTACAGGAGCATACAACTATACACACACAGGCTCTGAGGTTTGAACTCAGCACTTCATGCTTGCCTGGTAAGCATTTTACCAACTCAGTGATGCTCCCAGCCCTTATAACTCACTCTTTGAAAGCAAATTCACCTTTGACCGGCATTTGCCTCCACACGGTAATCACAAACCCTTCTTTTGTTTTAGTTAAAACCTAAAGTAAGAAGATGGAGAAAGGAAACACAGAAAGACCCATTCTTGGACCCAAAGGAGAAGGATGAGTAAAACATTTGGAATTCCTCTTCATCTTCTGCTATTACTTTACATTTGCAAAGGCTTACCATGCTACACTGAACACCCGGGTTTCCCCTTGCTCGCTTCCCCTGAAAACTACACCAAGGAATCACCACTACAGATCCCACCGCGACTGCACTCAATGGCTGACTTAAGCGTGTTCCTCACACTCGCCAGTCACTGCCTTCTTCACGATTTTGCAGCAAACCCTATTCCTGCCTTAGGGAGTCTGCCCTAGATGTCACCTCCGCTTTCTGCATGGCTCCCCCACCCCCTATTCCCTTAGACTCTTCACTTGAAAAGCACCTTTGTGATGAGACTCGCTCTAATTTAGATTGCTGTTCTCTTCCTAACTTGGCACTCTGTGCCTCACTTCCTACCCTCATTTTTCTGTTGTTTTCTGGCATTGTAATTGATATTTGTAGGTCAGGCTGGCTTCAGACCCACAGAGATCTGCCTGCCTCTGTCCAGCAAGTTCTGGGGTTAGAGACACGTGACACCACACTCGTAACTGGTTATCCTTTTCCCTCTCAATTGCACTTTCAGAAAAAAAAAATTAAAAAAATATGCTTAATAAAGACTTGTTGTAATTGACAACCATGGAATCTGTCAAGCTCGGAACTAGACACTTTGTCTTTTAACCCCCTACACACTGTAATTTTCTTTTTTGTAAAACGGAAATACAATCACTCTTATCTGCATTTTTCCAGTGTTGAAGATCTAGTCCAGAACCTGGAGTATCTCAGGCGAGTGTTTGTTCTAAAAGTCACACCCTCAACCCTTCCAACACGTCTGTATCACTAACTTTATACAGAAAAGGTTTATTTATTGTTAATCGTTATTGTTGTTGTTTTGAGGCAGGGTTTCTCTGTGTAACTGCCCTGGCTGTCTTGGAACTTGTTTTGTAGACCAGGCTGGCCTCGAACTCACGTAGATCTGCTTGCCTCTGCCACCGAAGTGCTGGGATTAAAGGTGTGATTTTAAGTGTTTTGTTAAGAAGGAGCCTCCAAATAAATTCAGTCTGTTAACTGGAGAGCAAAAGAAAAGTAGATCAAGGGAACCATAAGCTGTGAGTATCAAACTCACCCTGAGGATCAATGAGCAGGGCAAGATCACAGGAGGAAAAGCCCTGGGATGGGAAGGCACCCACAGGAGAAGAAACTGGACTGACAATCCAGAAACTGTGTATGAAAACAGACTTAGTGGTTCTGTGGCCAGTTGTGATGGAATGCAAATCAAGTGACTTCCAGGAATAGGAAGCAGTCTTCTGTTGGTTCAATCCATAGCCCTGCCCTTAACTGGTTGATTTTTCCATTGTCTGACCTTTGGGCTTTGTGATTAAATTCAGCATATCACATAAGTTTTCTTTTATTATAAACGTTTACTTACATATAAATGTGTGGATGTTTGGAGGGATATGTGTGTATATCAATATTTATGGACTGGGTCAAGTAATACAGGAATTTTAATTCACTAAAGAACTCTCCCTCCATTTAATCCTGGTGTATTTGTACATTAGCTAAATTGTGATGGCAGTCACAGGTATTCTATAACCTCATTTTTGGCCAGTTTTAATTTTCTGCTTTTCATTATGGAAATTGCCTTCGAATATATCTTTCCTCTAACTAATTTCCTCTTTTATGTATATGGAATATCTGTCAAACTTATCCATACAGTTATTAATTTTAGATATCAATAACTAGTTATTATATTTTTCAACTTTATGGTTTTTTTGGGTTCTTTTTCAAAGATGTGTGTGTACAGTTTCTAGTTCTTTACAAAATAGTTTATTTTTAAAATATTCTTGAACAAATAATTGTTTTAGGACCCGCATCTCCCTGTAGCTTTATTTTTATTAATTATTGTTTATTCTGGTTCTTGTTTATAGTCTCTTGATGCTTTGTGAATCTGACTTTTTAAATTGAGATCAGGTGTTATAATAGGAAATTTTATTTTGCAAATAATGTGAAACGTATTCTGAAGTCAGTTCCCACTGAGAGATTTAAACCTAGTTCCACCAGTTGCCACTTGCATGAGAATAACACCCTGAATCTACCTTCATTCAGCCCCAGAAAGTGAGATCGCTTGGAGCTGTATTTGAGGATGCTGGTCTAGGTTTATTAGGCAATTCTTCCTTCCTTCCTTCTTCCCTCCTTTCTTTCTCTATTTGTTTGTTGTTTGTTTGTTTATTGTTTTTTTTTAAAGACAATCTGTGTAGCTCTGGCTGTCCTGGAACTCACGCTGTAGACCAGGTTGGCCTCGAACTCAGAGAGATCCACTTGCCTCTGCCTCCTGAGTGCTGGGATTAAAGGTATGTGCCACCATTGCTCATTGTAATTCTTATTATGAAAAGGCAACTTTCTGAGTTCTCCAGAGGATTCTGGGTATCAGATTTTGAGTCATTACCGCCTGCAACACTATCGGGAAGACCCACTCAATCTCTAAGCCTCTCAAATATTTTCCTAGAGTTGGTGAATTATTTTGCATCCCTCCCTTGGTCTACACAAGTGTGAGGTGGATTTCAGCTTTTCTTTTTGGATTGCCATCTTTTCCCAGACATTGGATAGCACTTCTCCACTGTTTCTGTTAGGTCTCTAAAGTTTTTTAAAAAATGTTTAAAATTCATTTTCTTAAAGATTTATTTGTTTTTGCTTTACGTGTCTAAGCGTTCGCCTGCTTGTATCTGTGCTCCTCAAGTATCCAGTACCCATAGAGGCTAGAAGCCGGTGGTAGATACCTTGAACTGGAGTTAGAGATGGTTGGTAGCTTCTCAGAAAAGAACCTGGATTCTTACTTAACCAGTGAGCTGGCCAGGCGGTGGTGGCACACACACACATACACTTAAATAATAAAAATAAATGAGTTGTCTCAGCCATATAAGTTCTCAGCCTGCTGTGATACACACCTCTTCCCATCCCTACCTTCCACCATCCCTATACTCCTTCCAAGAGTTTGAATGTTTCCAATACAAAGAAACGATAAACACCCAACAATCACACATTGTATGAAAGACACCGTGTGAGTGCTGGAAGGCCACATAAGTGTGCACAGCGTTTACATGTCAACTATAGTATATAATATACTATATTAGTTGTAGACTATACTAATATACAATCGAAGTGTGTAGGACAGACTGAGGAATAATAGAACATATCTGAAGTCGAGTAAGACATTTGGGAGCTGGAGGTGTGCTTCAGTGATACGGCATTTACACAGTATATAATTGAGGTCCTGGTTCAAACATCCCCAAACCCCCATACAAAAAAAATTTCAGGGAACACTTTTTGGAGAAAGTGGTCTCTGTAGTATCTTGTAATTAAACAAATGAATAAACAAAACACAGTTTATAGTCGTGCTGTATAAATATAACACATATTTTATGTAAAATGTGTGAGAAGTATAAAAAGAAAATTTTGTAGTAGTTGTTGTTGTTGTTGTTATTATTATTATTTGGAGACCAAGTCTAAAGAAGAAAAGATGAAATGATTCCATAATTCCCCAATTCACTTTTTGGTGGGCACTTGCTTAGTCTTTTTTCTACCAAATATGCTGTATCCTTACATATACCTATACAGACAAATCATATCATATATTTGCAGTCATTTTACAGGTACAATTATGTGAACTTGCAATATAGTGTTACGATAGCCTTCTTCTGAACAGCTCACTCTGTGGGTGTAGCCATTTGTTACTAAATTTCATTCCCTCTGTCTTTAGTTAGGGTTTCTATTGCTGTGCAGAGACACCACGACCACAGCAACTCTTACAAAGGAAAAACATTTAGTTGAAGCTGCCTTACAGTTTCAGAGGTTTAGTCCATTATCGTCAAGGCAGCATGCAGGCAGACGTGCTGCTGGAGAAGGAGCTGCGAGTTCTACATCTTGATCTGCATGCTGCAAAAGGAGATTGTGTGCCACCCCTAGGCACGGCTTGAGCATAGACCCCTCCCCCATCACAACTTCCTCCAACAAAGCCACACCTCCATGGTCCCATGGGGGCCATTTCCTTTCAAACCACCACACCTATCAAGCATTCTTCTACAACATTTTTTCCCTGACAATAGCAAAGTTTTAGTAGGCCACTTTATAAAAGGTGTTATACATGTTTTAAAGATTTATTTATTTAGTGTTTAAATAGTGATTTATTATGTATTTAGTGTTCTCCTGGCACATACACATGCACCAGATCTCACTATAGATAGTTGTGAGTCACCATGTGGGTACTGGGAATTGAACTCAGGACCTCTGGAAGAGCAGCCAGTGCTCTTAACCTCTGAGCCATCTCTCCAGCCCCAGGTGTTATATATTTCAAGATGGATGTCTAGACTTCAAACAAACAGGCTAAAGCATGTAAGATTGTTCTAATACTTGCACGTGTCCTTTACAGTCGCGAAATTGAGCCATGGACAGAACCAGAACTGCAGGATGTCCAAGAGAACACAGCCCTACCTGCGGAAGAAGACAAGTCCTTCATGCCCATCATCTCAGAAACTCCTAGTACTCCCAAGAGTCCTTCAGATTCCAAATTCTCCAAAACGTACTTGTATAAGACCCTCTTTGAAGAGTACAAACTCATTGCTTCTGAAATACTGTACGAACTCGAGAAGACATTGAAGAAGTATGCTCAGGATGGCATGGCTTTCCCTGTGGGACTCCTCAACCTCATGACTTACAGCTGGCAAGATCTGATTGAAGACTCTTTTAAGGACGAACCCCCAGAGAAAACGCTGGGACGAGACAGGGACATGGGAGGGGAGTCCACCTCTATGACCAGCTTCCAGTTCAAGGAGGGCAAAGTCAACCGAGATGCAAAGGAACACCCACAAGAGGAAAGTCCACTGGTTAAAGCGAGAAAGTCCTCTCAGGAGATGCTGAGCAAACCTTCAGAAAAACCATGTAAGCTGAAGTTACTGGTTGCGTTTATGACCATTAGATGAGATATGGATGAAGTATTGTAATAGTGTCATTGAGTCTGTAACAATCATCCTAGCGACTAACTTAATGACTGCCAGGAGAAAGAAGCAGGAAACAGTGTTAAAGCACTCGGTAGGCTTCTCCCTGGGCGTCTCTTACAGCAACCAATACAGCATTGAATTAAGAATCAGACATTCATTTACGAGACAAAATTTAGGGATAATGTATGTAACCATCAGAGTTACTGAAGAGCCCCGTGATCTCAGCACTTCTGAGCCCAAGGCAGGATGACTGTTGTGAGTTCAAGGCCAGCCTGAGATCAAAGTGAGATCCTGTCTCAAAAAAATTTATTTTCAAGCCGGGCGATGGTGGCTCACGCCTTTAGTCCCAGCACTCGGGAGGCAGAGGCAGGCAGATCTCTGTGAGTTCGAGACCAGCCTGGTCTAAAAAAAAAAAAATTTATTTTCTTTGCAAGGAATCCCATTCTCTCACTCCCAACTTCTAGGACCGCACTGTCCAGCATGGTAAATATTAGCCATGTGTGACTATCTAAATTTGAACTCATAAAAAAAAATAAGTTGAAATTTAAGTTTTTCAGTCTCACTAGTCATGTTCCAGGTACACAGGAATGACGTCATGTTGGCTAGTGGCTGCTTTTCAGTCAGTGAATGTTTAAAACGTTTTCATTAGCAGGGAGAGTTCTGTACAGTGGTGTTCTAGGAGGCGATGTGTGTGTGTGTGTGTGTGTGTGTGTGTGTGTGTGTGTCTTTGTTGTTTGAGACGGGGTCCCACTATGTAGCAGTGGCTGGTCTGGGAACTTCCTGTACTCTTGTCCTCAGACTCACAGAGATCTGCCTGCCTCTGTTTT